ATATAGAGTCAACTGATAACACATTATTGTGTGTGAATTTTTGGTTAAATTATAAATGTTATGTGATTAATAAAATATTGCATACAAGTACATGTCATATTTAATGTATTGAACTCGTTTAATACTTACCATACAACATGGACACTCATGTGCGATCCTCTATTAATACTATTTATCACTTTCCCTTCAAATTTGTATCTCTTTACAAGAGGTATACAATATCGATTGATGGATTGAGAACAGTAAAACATTGTGCAGAATAGATCATTACAATTAGGTTTAGGAATTTTTACTATTTACTATTCACGTTAAAATGCAGCAACAGCCGTTGTAATTAGTTAAAATGATTTTAAAACAAACGCCGTCAATGTGACTCTAGTATGCCAGCTGCAATATACCGAAGACAATACTACAGCAGAACGGCTTCCTCATAGTGTGATGTGTGACGTCATCAAACAGAACTGTTTACGACAGGATCTCAAAGCTCTAAGGAAAACATTTGTACTTTATAGTGACGTTAGAGAAAGTGAATATATCGGATAATCAGAGTCCGTGTATTCAATTTGTTATTGAGTTAAGTGCTAAAAGTAAGTTAGTTTGACAAATGTGTATTTACAACTATAATCTTCATTAAGTCCCTGATGTTTTATCTTGACGTAATCTCTATCAATGATGTAGCACAATGCACAAAGTAATCAAAACAAACTTAAACCTACATTGAGAACATTATACGGTCACTATTACTATTCCTGCTGTCATCGTAGACCGCTGCTGGCATATTACGTTCCTGCATTTGACGGTAGATATCACGAAGGGAGTCGTATTTGGAAAATGTTTTTACTCTAGCTAAGATCTAGTGTCGCCCCCATTTAACAGAAGGTTCATTATGTCTTAACTCTCGTTTTGATGGATTTTCAATTCTTGTTTTTCGTATAAACACCGAACTTCTATTTCTCGAGAATTTGACACTTAAGTATTTTATTTCTTTTAGGGTAATTATAGTTAAATGTTTTGCACAAGTAATATATGAAAAGTGTATTTTTTTTATCTAATACAAGGGCCATTAAATAAATGCTGTCACTATTGTCAGGAATCACAAGTATGTTATAAATAGTTTGAGCTTTCCATTACATTTCTTTGAAGTATCCCCCATAGCAGAAACGTACTGTTTTAAACGCTGCGTTGCGGTCTCACATCAGGAAACACTGGCAGCTTGCACTACCAAGAACATTCTTAGAGACACACCGTTTCCAAGATAGCATTAATATTAAAGAAAAAAAGAAAGAGTCGCGGGCACTGGGGTTAATTTGTGCTACCTTCTGTTGTATCAAAGCCGTTTGTACAATTTTCCTCTTGTGGGATGAAGCATTGTCGTGAATTAGCTGGTCACTATTCCTCCCATTGCTTGGACGTTTTTTTATTTAGAATGTTTGCACGGTATCTGAACCACAAGCAAACAAGAATTGAAAAAAAATGTATACAAAAAATCCTTAGTGTTTTTATACGTCTTGCAAATACTGGTCCTGCTTGAGTTCTCGACACTGCTGGGTTCAGAGTAAATCATATAGCTTTCCTGAAGGCAGTTACCATACTTAAGCACATTTCAAACGTCTTCTTTGTGGTCAGATATCAGCAAAAGGGACACATTGTGATGTGTTATGCCTTCTGGAACGCCAACCATATGAGTTAGAGTAACTGGCCTCGCTGGCCGTGTGTCGTCTTTGACGTCAACCTTAACCATTTGGAATTTGGTCATCCACCTTAAAACATTTTCCAATGTGACGGCAGAGGTGCCTTTTATGCTGCACAAATATGCACGAATCTATTTCATTGGTATATCTTATCCACACCGTGCTTTTATATAGGGAGCGTTTTCACACCTATTCTCAACCTTCGTTTAACTAACTTGTTCAATTCTTGTCGGATGATGTCGAAAGTGTTGCAGTGCATTGCTCTGTAAATGTTTTTGAAGTCTGCCAAGGCCCTAGAGTATGGTATTGGCTTTTCGGATTTGGCTGTGCGGTGACAGAATTTATTAAATTACCTTTGAACTAGTGCTAGGTATATTGAGGCTCATCTAGATAAATTTGTTGTGAATATCAAAATATTAAAATAAGCATCATTGAAAGTTGTAATTGTCTATACAGATGAATAAGTACGCTAACTACAAACATACACAATCTTAATGAGATTCATCAATTAGTAAACGAAGGTAAGAGGTAAGATTCCTTACACATTTTATAAAAAAAAAAGGTAGCAGAAAGGGTTGAAGGATTACATATATCGTAGAAAACTGGCACATGAACATATATTGTTATAATATTATGTGTAGTTTACTACTGGTATTCAATTAATATACATAAGACCATCCTGAATAAAAATGTTTATTTGCAGTTTTCCTACTCAGTTTTTTTTTCTATTACTATATAAGCAGTATTTTTTATTTTAAGAAATAAAAGTCTAGTTTGAACAAATCCATATGACTACGTCTCTCCTACCAACATTTGTTAAAAAAATACCCGTGTCGTAAAATTGAAATCGAGTTGAAAAAGTTGCTGATACCTGTAAATGATATAATATTGCGTTTTAACTGTAATGTATTGCCTTCTGAAACAGCATATGTGTCCCCATGTCTCCGTCAGTTCTCCTATCCAATGGTTTAAGTATTGAAATAGTAAGGAATAATAAACACGGCCCATGACCACGATAACTACCACCAGTGCGTGTATAAGCGTATATATACGTAAAGATATTTCTGTAGCTGTGCTAGACTGTTTATTGGGTACCCTGATGCATCTATCCATACAAAATCGAACTCTCTTTTACAATTCTGTCTTTCTATCTTGTAAAATGAAGACTCCAACGATGTGTTTATTACATTGTGTAGCTATTATCATTTAGATTACTTTAAACTATGTCATGTAGGCAGACGGGAACAACAGCTGCAACGTATGAGCTAACATTTGTTTGTGTGCCACTGGAAATCGATGATCTAGTTGAAGATATTCACCGATATGAACTTTTCAGAGTTACAGTCGAATAACGAGTGGCCATTGCCAGAAGACAATTTTGTAAGAAGCATTTCTAGTGCCTTTGGTGAAGTTAAGCAATGCTTTTTCAACTTAAAAATCTACTTGATAACGCACCAAGTGACAAAAGTAATTACGTCATGTGTTGTTAAAAATAAATAAAGCAAGAGAAAAAAAAGCAACATGGGGTCTTGGCAAAAAGAAATAGTTCGAACTCAAAAACAATTAATCTATGGCACGATGTTATAAAAGAAGAGTTGAACAAGTCCTTGTAACTGTAAGGATATTGTGAATAATTCAATCTACGCATTTAATTCAAATTTATTTTTTGTCCGTTTTCTTTCATCATGATAAATTCAGCACCGAATAACAACAAAAAATTCGAGACCCATACATGTTTCTATGTGTATGTCTACCGTCTGCAGGCAAAAAAGATATTTCCAATCAGAAATCAATTATTTCACGATTTCTCAGTAATTGATAAGTATTGCCAATAGGGTCCGTCTACTGCTGCATCCCTTGTAAAGTATGCTAATGACCAAACCTAATATGCCGAAGCTTCACGGTTCAACGTATCTGATTCATTTTTACTTTGCTAGGTACACTACAACAATATCATGTAAGGTGATAGAACATAATAGGTAATTTAAAGAGCTGAACTACTTACACCTGGCTGAGGTAACCTTGTAGAGTTGACAGACTATAATAACAAATAAACCGGCCTGAAAACCCTGTGTATTGCAAATGATAATACTATTTTACCAAATGGGAATACATGTACATGTATGACAGCATGCCAAATGCTTCTATAGTAGATATCACTGACCAGCAGCTTTATTGTCTCGTGTACCAGTGTGTAAGTTGGAGGAATACATTTGAATCTGATATACATGTAGGAGTTGATTTTGTGTCTTTATCATATGATGAAGTATCGATAATTGTGTATTTCATTTAAAAATTTACATTATCAGAGAAGATGAAAATTGCCATTCATTACAACAAATATCGTTGCTACGTTTTGAAAAAAACAAAGACTGAAAGTGCCAATAAAACCGTAACTCGAATCAAATAGTTAAAGCAATCGCAAATTATAAACAATTCAAGACTTGAAGGGAAAGTGTCTGCACCTTCATCAAAGACACAAACAATACAAAGCTAGGTCCAGTAAGTAAGTGCTAGTCCTCAAAGCGTGGGGCGGGATATTTGTTGGTACCTATTTTCCTAAATTTGGCCCTTTTCTTTGCCATGAGGGTCTGTTGACTCCTACTTTATTTAACAATTGATAGGATCTGCTTAGGAATACTCCATTCAACAAGATCGGCCAAAACACTGAAGCATGTTGAAGTTGTTAAAATGTGTATCAAACTGTCCCTTATTCGCTGCTCGTCTCCGTCCCTAAAGGGCAACAGACTTCAGTTCAGAAGTTATTACTCGCAATCATCAGTGACGCATCAATCTCTTAAGCAGTATCCTTGCGAAAAATTAACAACAGAATGGAAAACTGATGTTTAATTAAACTAATGAGGTTATTGCAGTATAGCTTTTGGGCACAAGCTCGTAATGCGACACTTACGTCACTGTGCGATATTCTGCACTAGTGTAGTTGTGTTAACGTTGGAATTAAATAATTCTCTCTGGCTCAGACACATAGTTGACCTTTCCTCAGACTGGTAGCGACTCGTTAACGCGGAGCGCGTGTGGCCGACGTCATTGCAACAACCAGTCACGTGGTAGCCTACCTGCTACAGCGGTCATTTATCGCGCGTGTCTGGAATTATTCGGCAGAACAATTACGTTATCTGTAGCTTAGGTTTCTCGACAAAGCATTCATTGCGACTCGTCGTTCGTGTACCTTAGACTGGCTGGAAATAATTCAACAACTTTCCTATTTCGAGGGCAAATATTTAAATAAAAATAAAAGAAAATTGGCCTTCCTCTTTAAAGGATTGTTCAGAACACAAAGCCTTTATTTACAATTCTAAAAGTTCACCGTTTCTTGTTTTGCTAACGACATATAAACGTGCCTGGTTTGGACGCAAGACATCAAAAGGAGGCCCGCAGGTGGTACGGGAACCGGATATGTTTCTGGAATACCTGATCTCGCCTCCGTGTGATCGTGGGAGCTACCCTATGATGTGTTATCTTTTTTATTAGTGTGCCCCACCCCAGTCATGTCTTTTTTGTAACCTTTCTCATCGTAACTTATTTTTGTAACCCTATCATTTGATCTTGATACAGATATATAGTGTTCACTATTTTGGATGTAATTTGTAAAAAAAAAGGAAAAAAAGGAAAGAACGACTACAACATGTTGATATGAATTTATTGTTCAATGTCATAAATAAGGAGGTACAATTTCACTCTGAACGCAGCAGTTAATGAATTCGGTATATACCAGACTTAACTCGAATTTATTGTGTTTAGTAGTATAATGTAAAAGTGGGACGTATACCGTTTGGAAATGCACGTGCTCCAAACTTTTCAAACTGATCGCTGCGTGGATTGTTTTGCGTTGATAATAATCTGAGTTTTATATATATCCTTTATATCCTATATATCCACAATCTATGAATAGTTTTGCGCTAATTGTCTCAACGACAAAACAAACGCGTACATTTTCAAATCGTCTAAACTTCCACCTTTACATGTTTACAGGCAGACGTTCTATAGGAAGAAGATTCTATAGCATGGCCCTTATCTTCGCGGTCGAAATGTTTTCACAAAAAACAGATCAAGTGAATATCATTTATGATGCATACATACAGTGTTCAACAACTGATTTTGTTTCTGTTTAAATATATTCACAAAAATCAACAAAAGGAAATGTCCAGCACTCAAAAACGAGCACATGATCGGACTTAGAAGAATGTTTAAATTATCTCTATGTAGACAAAGTTAGATATAAATGCAAGCTTATACACTTATCGTACATCATAGAGCGTATAAGGAAACACTACAAATGAGAATTTGGGTATGTGTCAGGCCAGACAAGCCTGGAGACATTACAAGTCGGACAAAACATTGACGTACGCGGCAAATATTACAAGAAAGACGTGTAGATAATTCGAATTTAACACATCAGCGGGTGTTACAATAATAACGTAAACAAACGTCTTACGCGTACAAGTACCGTGCGTGACATCAAATGAACGATAACCTATCACAGACGAAATAAAGAGTGACAAATGCGTACCTTCTAACAGCTGCGTCCCTGGTGCCTGCAGCGTCTCATTTCTGTCGGTTTTGTATTTTGAAATATTTCTGATATATTTTTGTCTGCTTCAAAGCCTTAATAATATTGTTCTTACTTTAATATACCAAAATGTCAGACTTCCTGGAAATTGTTGGATATTAAGCAATTTATTAGCTGTTTCAAATATCAGAAATAAAATTAATCATTTCACTTAACGTTTGATAAAATATAGCCCTTAAAACAGATATGACTTTGAGGATGTTTTCTATGCTACATGTAATACGTTTTGTGATTCCGGGCACAGAGATAATTAATCATTTGATACCTGCAATTCCAGAAAAAAAAAATACAACAAAAACCACATACTGTTAACAGTGACATTTGCCCAAATAGTTTGTTTTCTCGAATTCGACACAAACGTATTGCATGCAGCAATTATTTAGAAGTCGATATGATGAAAACTTTGGGTCATCTGGTTTGTATATTACAATTTGTATATACAGCGTTCGTCCATGAAGTATATAATGGCCACATCGACTTTGATAATAGATTCAGTTTGAACCTGAATTTTGAGAAAGTAATCAACGAGTCATTGAAATAATCAGGCTGTTAACCCTAGCCCTAACCTCTTCCATCATTATATGCAATACAAATACACACATTAACACAAATGCGTTCTACCGAACCATCTACAAACCAATATACATAAGATAAACAATGTTCCTTTGTACACCGGTATCACAAGATACAGTAACAGTCACGTCATCATCTAGATGTACATACAATAGATAATAAATAGAATGTGCCACAACACGTCATAGACCCGTTTTATCAGATCAGTTAAATAGTACAACCTCCTGTGGTCAAATCCTTGTGGTCAAATCCTTGTGGTAGGAGTACTTGTTACCTCCCTCCCCATCACATCCATTGGATCAACGTGTGAGAATGGCCACAGGTAACAAGTTTCTTATGATATTGTACAAGTTCTAAGTTCCACGTCATACTATCCTGATCTCAAGTGCATACTATAAGCTTAATAACACCTTTATTTTCTAACATAAACATTAAAGAGGTCACATGTTCGCTATACTTTTTCATGTCATTTTGATTCTAGCCTTCGTGAAACAAATTATTATATTTAACAGTTCTTGAAACTTTGCTTTGGAAGGAAGCATCACTGTTAATATTGTTAAAAGCACATCCAAAAAAGAAAAGAGAAAAACGCAGAAAAACATTAATATCGATAACATAGTCTGTGCAATGTTCAACTACATACTATCAAGTCAATCGTATATAAACGACACACAATTCACATTCAAAATGGTTTAACTTTATTTTAAAGGAAAATCAGAAATGAATAACCGGGAATTTCATTTGATACATTCCATGGTTCAATGGTTCTGTGGCCTGAAAGAGGACATTACAGAAATCATATGATACATAATGTGTTCGTGTATTTCGTAATTAGTATGATTGATGTCGTCGCCAAGCAGTCATTGCGTTGTCTAAAAATGGAGCCGGTTGCTTTGGGAATTGTACAACTAATGTCTCACTGACTAATTAAATACATTATATACTAGAGTTTATTGATACATTACTCTTGTGATTAATGGTCCTGTATATTCATTTCCATTGAAGTATGTCTTTGGAGTAATTCTTTAAACATATTTACCTTACTTACTAGAGCACACATTCTTATATATTTGGATGTTGAGAACGTCTAATTGTCATTGTTGAAACGACATATTTACAAGTTTTCTCGCTTGGAAATAAACAGCAGTGTTATAATATACACGATATGTAACCAACACCGACATATGCATCGGTTAGATCAGAGATTTGGTGATTTTGTCATAACAACAGCCGTCTTAAGACAAAAGTCTTAATTTTTAATTATCTACAAAATACTACAAGCCTTTACTTAGACAACGAAAGCATGAATCTATCAACATCTAAACATCCCCAGTTTCATGATAAATCCCTTACGACATGAATCATGAACGCTAATGTTTAAAGATATAAATCAATGTTAATGTTAAAACGTACATTGATACAATTTAAAATGTTCCCTGTATTTTATTTTCAACATTTGTCTGTTAAGTAGGTAGACACGCGAGCCTAACTAGAGGAGAGCATGGTAGAAGTGAAGATCTGCTGTAAGATCTGTGGTAGATCTTTGGTGTCCAAACAAATAAAGGCGTGTCCCGACGGGAGGTGTTTAATCAACTGGGCCGCCTGGTCATCCAGGGAACCTATAAATATCGTGTAGGCGTTCACCTTATCGTTAGACCGGAGTATCTCTCCGAACTTTTTAGGTGAAATATTGTACCGATCAAAATTTGCATCACTTAAAATGATAACAAAGTGCTCATCAGCTTCCTCCTCGCCAAGATCATTGATTGCGTGACGCGTCGCTTCTAGGGTGTTGTCGCCACTTAGACAAAACTGAGAGTGTGCATGCATCGTCTTTAGAACCACTAAACGGTCCTTGTTATTCGCTGGGGCCTTATCCGATTTCACTAACTGGACCTGTAAACGAGTAGAGTTAAGTACTAATACTACGTGGTGAACAATTGGTGTACATGAATCCTGCTTAACCTTTAATTAGGAACGAATTACATGTGATTCATAGGGAGTGTTTTCAAACGTATTCTTAAATGCAAGAAATATAAGTGTTATTTAATTTTTGCTTAAAGACAGGTCTATAACATATTTGCCCAAGCTTCGTTTTTTATTCTACACAAGAAAATAATGTATGCCCGGTAATGTTCATCACATTTTACTTTCTCGGTATTCCCCCTTAATAATTCACGGAGGGCAAGAACATAATGATGGCGAACACTTATATCAAATATGACAATTTTCCATCATGCCAATATATATTGGACTATACTAACATTCGTAAGTAGTATTCTATCTGTGAAAGGCGAAACAAGGAATGGGCGAGTTTATTTGTCCTTGACATAAGCTCACCTTGTGGTCCTCTCCAGAATGTCCGAGAATATCGTATTTAATTTTCTCGTCATATCCATCCAGGGCTTCCATCATCATGAGCGCGGCCTCCATCTCGCGTTCCAGGCGGCCATCATAGCCGTTGAAGCGATACATACTGCCGGACAAGTCAACAACCAGACGCATGCGCTTCGGTTTCTCTTGTGGTGTTCCTAGCTCGGGGTCTTTTTCTCCACGACGCTTGTAGATAGATTTCTCCCCTAGACCAATACAACATATCATGGACAAGGCATCTATATACCTCAAGATGTGAGAATATCTCAAAACAACTTTACAATGAATGTCTATGGGTTAATTTGGAGTTTTTCCAGCTAAACATATCGCCAGCCAACTGATAGCAAAATATTTACTCAATAAGGCGTTTTTGGATTGATGTGTTTACTGCATAATATAGATTATCAACAAAGTATAGTTTCTGTAGATATGTCCTCGAAATGGGGGCTACATGTATTTATTCAGGGAGTTTAATTGTAAATGAAATAGCAATCTTATTTTTACAAATGAAACGTTTAATTAAACACATGAAACGCATAATTTGTTTAAAGAAAAAGTTCAAAGGCAATGTATCCTAAATACAACGTTATATTGCTGATTGTACTTTCTGTATGAGCAGGACTTGTGACAATTTGTATCAGGTATTGGAAAAGTATAATTATCTAAAATGGAGTTAAGATTAAAGTTTAATGTCAAATACCGGTAATACAATTTACCTGTAATGCCCTCGATAAGCTTAGCGTCGTCCAAGTCGCCGTATGCTTGATTTTTTAGCCACTGCCGTTCCTTGCCCTTAGCCTGAAGACTGTCCAAAATTACCCGTAGGGACTGGATTTGGCCGCGCACGTGGTCAAGGAAATTGTTGTACGTTTCTGCATCATACTCGCTCATGTTAATTTCGCGGAGTCTGTCCTTGAACGCTTTCTGAGCAATCTCGCGCGCTGCCTGGCGGACTTCTTCCGGCACGGCGTCTTTCTCCGCTTGCGGTACTTGGTACACGTGGTGGCCAGCGTCAAGTCGGTAAGGTCCTCCAAAACCGCCTAAGCCTGTCAACATACAAGTTCTACATGGAGTCGTAATTCGGAAAGCCTTCCTTCCCACCAACGAATGACGACTTAAAAATACAAGTATACGTACAGAGTTTAAAAACCGGTAAAGATCGTCCTTTATCGCCCATGTCTGTCGACATGCAGATTGTTTTTTGGGGGGTTTAGTTTCTTTCTCAAACCATTTGGCAAAATATATAAATGAGCGAAACATTTCATTTTTGCAAATGAAAATGAAAAAGAAAAAGTTTTCTTGCTATTCTAAAAAGGATCTTCTATAATGACACTTTGATAATAACTGAAAATTTCGAGTAATTTTTTTACCATTTTTTATTTTCAACATGAAAACAAATCTGATTATTTTTTCCAGAAACGGGTAATTTGTCAGCCATAAAATGACAATTAAATTATCTCAAACTTTATTAGGGGAGCGATACTGTTAACGCTTATAACAAACATATCAGCTTTTACTGTATGATGTCATATGAGGTTTCTCACCTGCAGTATTGCTGCCGCCAGTGCCGCCCGCCCACTGATTACCGCCTACATGTGGGGTGTTGCTTTTATCAATCTTTCCGTGTTTTGGACCATCCGCCTTGCGACCGCTCTCTCGGTCGTAGGTGATCTGAAGCTCCTTGCCGTCCGAAAATCCAATCATGTTTTTCCACTCCTGCATGGATCGCTCAAGGTTAGTGACATAAGGTTCCCAAAGCCGCACACATCCGGACACGTCTACAGTAACCACGCCGTCGTTACTTGTGGGAGCTAAAAACAAGGTAGAGCTTGACGTGTGGTACATCCAGGACGCGTAAGAGGACACCTGACTTGGGAACTTTCGATGTCGGAAGTCCCTGCACCACCATGCCGTTCTCCGGAAGGTAAACTGTTGGGTATCGGGACTGTGTTTCGGGCTGATCACCGTACGGCGCCCGAAGTTTGTTCACTCGGTCTATCATGCTATCATCTTGTGCCAATTGCCTTGGAGTCGAGTACACTTCTGAGGAGTCACCATCTGGAAATCCCACCAGCACGGAAGCATACGAATCTGGCGTAACAAAGACGCGGTTAGATGACGTCATGTCCTTCTTCATCACACGTGAGAGAAGCTGATCTGAAAGAGGAATCGTTGCCATCTCATCCACAACGGTTTCCTGTCCTTCCTCTTGCACTGCCCTTAGTGTGAATTCATAATCGTCCGAGCACGTGACCAAGTTCTTGTTGTGGTTGTCTGTAGAAGTGACTAACCACTGGTTATGGCTGACCTGATTTATAGACTCAATTGCAAAGGGCAAGGACACTGAGTGAGATTGAGAACCTGCGATGGCCACTAATGTATCGCCTCCGGCCTTGTAAAAAACCATCGTCCCTTTATTGTCTGTAATAGACGAATGACACATCCTGAATTCATTTCCTTTCTCCTTTTTCTGCTGAAACGAGGGAAATCGTCTCTTTTCCGTCACTGTTTCAGGAAGATATGGAGATCTGATCCGACGGACCTCTCCGGACTCATAATTGACCAGAAATATAGCGTTACTGACCTCCTCGTGCAGGATGACGGTGTCGTCAAAAGGGGCTGACATTGGCGCTAGGTTAACCTTGGGCTGATACGACCCGGATGTAGTCGGGAACAGGTCGTACATGTCGACATGAGTAATAGTTGAAAACTTTGGGTTGAGAGAATATAATGTAACCGGGTTTGATGTAGCAATGTGGACAATGTCCGTATTTGTTTTTCCTTGAGATCGGTAGTCTCTCATTGTGACCGCCACATCACTGATGATGTTGTTATCATGCATGGGGATCTTCCAGTAGGCATCCTGTTCCGTGAAAATTCCAGCCCTGGCCTCCCGCTTCTCCAGCACAGTCTCCTGAACAGCAACCTCTATGGGCCCACGGACCTCTACTGGAGACGAATCTACAGGCAAACTCATCAGTGAAGTCTTTCGGCGACCCTGTCCGCTCTGCATATCCCACTTTCCTGTGAGTCTGAATGAAGGCAACGGAAATTGCTTGGCAAGATTTACCACAGCTTCTGTTGCCCCAAACGGAATTCCATGTTTATGCATGGTCTGTACTATTGTGTCTTTGAGCTCGTTACTGTACGAATCGAAGTCGAAGACGTTGCGGACGACTGTTGTGAGTCCCTCCTCGGGGTATTTTTGTATGTGTTTGACAATGTTGACAACCTCACGTGTAGAGTATGGATACGCTATTAATCCTTGATCTGCCATGCTTCGTAGTTCCCCAAAGGCCTGCACCAATTTTTTCAGTGTTGTTTCCGGTACGTCTGGGCCGTACTGTCTCAGCATTGCTAATTCGGATTCCATATCTGGGTTGTCTATTGCATGACAACTAAAGATGTCACCCATTGATCCGAAGAAATCATTTCCTAAAAATGGAAATCCTGGTCTATTTGCAAGAACAATCATCCTGAAGTTGGGGTGACATTTGATTATATTATTAGAAGGAGGTATGTTCGAATGCGGTGCCACTATCCGTCTACCGTCGGCTAGATGCATTTCCTTCGACTCAACTAATGTTTTCAGTATACATGTTACATGTGTTGGCGCCTTATCTGCCTCATCCACCACCAGGACGTTGCCCTGCTTCACGGCAGAGACGAGAGGCGAGTCCTCGTATACGATGACGCCATCCTTGACGGTGGGTTGAAGAGTCAGGGTCTGGACGGTTGTGTCTCGATGCAGTTGTATATACTCACGGGGACGGTTGAGCAAATATAGAAATCGGTCCACTATCTTATTTTTCCCCACACCCTGATTCCCAACTAACAACAAATTCTCGCCCAGTGAAAAGTCTTTTAACATGTCCTCCATAACACTAAGATGCTGGGGATTATCGTAGAACAGCACATCAGGAACTTTTGTCTTGTTGTCAGGATTAAACAAGGGAACTGTTGTATGTCCTATACGTAACGTTCCGTTATCTACCTCGCTCGTGATGGACCAGTCAAGTGCCAGTGCGTCTGCTTTAGAGCTGTTCATAGGTTTTATACCTGCAGTCTCCATAGATTGGTGAAGACCAGCCTTAGGCAGCTGGGGCAAAAACCTAGCCAGACATGCTTTCTCGATGACCCCGAAGACATCTTTGGATGGGAATTGTGCGATTCTGTTGGCTACGCGAATCAGTTGTCTGGTTGATAATGATGATGCAATAGAGGTCATCGCAGGGTCTGTGGACGACCGCAGTTTGTGGACAAAGCTGACGAGGCCATTCATGTCAGGGCAATTCTTGACCACCTTGTGGATAACTTCAAGCTCCTCAGTCTGAGACAACGGTCGGAGGTTATGGAACAGGAACATTGTAAGTAGTTCCGGGGTCATCCACTGCTGCTTAGTACTTCCAACAACGGGTGGCTCTGACAAAGCAATCATTCGGAACGATGGATGAATGGCCAGTATCCCCTTTTCTCTCATTTGCTCATCAGTTAAAGCCTGTTCTGCTTTCATCTTTTGAAATCGGTCGTGTCTAAGAAGACGCGATCCGTCAAACAGCTGAAGTTCACGGTCATGAATGAGCCGGTGAAGGATGGAGAATGATCCCTGATTTATTCTGTGAACACCGTCAAGGACCGCTAGACTGCCCTCCATAGCCGCTGTGACAAGGGGTGATAGACGCCATGACGTGTCGCCGTTGGGCAGCGTGATTCGCTGCTGCAGAAGGTCGCGTGACGTCATGTCCTGATAGAGCATGATGGGTTCGATGTGATAACCTAGTAACACTGCGAGTTCTCCAACTAGTGCACTTTTCCCACTGCCCTTAGGACCGACGATACACAAGTCTTTACACATGTGACTCAACATGAGCTCAGATAGGAGAGACTCGTGGTACTTTGTCATTACGAAGTTACGCCCTCCAACTTTATTATCTTGTGGGAATAACCCATTGTTGACCGAGAGAGGAAACCGTTCATTAAGCACGACCTGAGTGGAACCATCATCCCTCGGTTTTATTGAAGTAATCTTTAGATGTTTTTGCTTTTTACCATCCATCAATTCAAACTTTTGTAGAATTCTTTCCACAGCAAGCCTTCCATCCTTACCAAGCATGGTGTTGTAGGGGTAAAGCATCTGCAGTAATATTTGGGAGGACATGAGAGGTACAGAATCCATCATCCGTACGATGTTGACTAAATTGGATATGGGGAAATCAGGTAAACCTAGTGACGACGATTCCTTTGTTAAAATCGCTGTAGCGAAGGATAACACTTGCGATAACCGCTGAGACGGCACGTTTTTCGTGTCTACTTGTAATGCATCGAGCTGTTCATTGAAAGGTGGAGAGCTTATGTCTCGTGACTGGAACCTTGACCTCAACGGCGGATCCAAAGGGTTACCTTGATATCTGGGAACAGGATGCCCCAAAGCAAGCACACGGAAATTCTCACTAACACGTACAAGTTTCAACTGATCAAGCTCCTCCTGAGTATGGTCGGATAAGAGTTTGTCATAACGGTCAGCCGCCATTAGGAAGCGCCCGTCGTCTAACTGCATTTCACGATTCTCTAACAAATTGTTGAGGATAGGCAAAACGTTACGCTCTGCCTTTTCGATACCTTCTAATACGAGAATCCGGCCCTCCAAAGCGGCTCGCACTGCACACTGGTCCAGATAGAAGGCCGTTCCTGACCGGATCTCGCGTCTCTGCTTGAGGTCACTCTCGGTCGTATCCCTAGACAGCGACACGTATTCACCCTCACGTTTGGTCAGCTCCAAATACATCATAGCAATCTGTCGACGCAAGGGACCAGGAGGACCTATAATACAAAAAGTAGACAATATGTATATACGTATGTTATATAGCGCATAGCATAGTATAAGCGGAGTATAATTATGGCACAATCAATTGCAAAAACGAAAATACGCTAGTGTTTTATTAATACCAACTAATATATACATAACATACCATAGAGCAGAACAAACACAGAACACATAAAGTTTACAAGAAGAGCTTACACCATCTAAAGAATTTTATTATAAAACACACTTATACATATACACATACAATGTGGGGTTCGGAAGAGATGCACAACCCACTTATACCTACATTTTTATGTTTACAAAAACAAACAAGCGAAACATTGGAATTTCTTTCCTTTTGCTTGTCATATTTGTTGTCCATTATTGAAGTGTTGTGTTGATTTAATGCTTATTATGATACAACAAGACAATTCGGCAAAGTATTGTCCCCCACCGAATGTGAAATGCACAGATGATAAATTCCTACAGGAACTAATTCTATATATGAATGTTTGACAGTCAGTGACCTAGTCAAAAACAGAGTGACCTACTTTTGATAAACGACACACCGCCTCATCAAGGTGAAGCCATGTAGGAGATAGAGCCCGGACAAGACGGCGGAAGGACGGACGGACACGACGCAAAACTACACCACCACCCCCCCACTCCCCCCNGTCAAATATTGGAAAGAAATCCCTGACTTTCTACTGCGGTTTTGGGTACAATGCATAATAAATATTAAATTTGCCTGCATCGAGGAGACTGCCATATCCAGCCACCCCACTCATTTATGATAACATATATACTGCATCTGGCTACAACCAAATCAAGAATACCAACCGTGACAGACAGACGAACAAACGGATCCAGATTAATATACGAGGTTTCTAAAAGGAGCAGAAGGATAATATTATAATATTATCAGAATAATTTGTTAAACAATACATAACTAGTTTATACGGAAGTGCATTAGGGCCATGGAGAAGAACAAAAATATTTTTTTCGTGTTAATAACTCGAAATGTCTACGGGGCCACCAACATCAAACTATAACATACTATAACAGCAGGGTCCTTACCAACGTATAGGTGTATATCTAAACCAATGGGGAACCATAACATGAATATGGAAACATTGGTTAAAAACAAAAAATGGCAGGTACAATTCTAAAGTTAGCAGCCATGCATAAACAGGAGATGGCTAACGCATGATTCCTCTGTGTTTATTACATGTATAATTCACGTATCGCCATCCTCGATATCCAGGGGTTACGCTTACTTTCGCTCTCTGCACCCTTGGCATATGTCATATCAAAATTGAAAGCAAGCGCTTAGCTATTTGATTGCTGCCAGGTAAAAGATCCTTACCAATCACTTAAGGTGATACTTGCCATTTGAAAATTACAGAAGAGCAACGCCCGACTTCAAAGCCAGTAAGTTTTACCTTTACACGACCGCGAGATTCATTTGATGTACATCATAGGATCAAACTAGTCTTCTTGTCTCATTCATAAGGTGCTGCACACTGAGCCTTCGATTTTGCTATGACATATCCCAGGGGTGCAGAGATCGAAAGCGTAACCCCTGGATATCGCGGATGAAGTGAGCGTAACCCCTGGATATCGCGGATGAAGTACTAGTGAGCGTAACCCCTGGATATCGAGGATGACGTAACCCCTGGATATCGAGGATGACGTAACCCCTGGATATCGAGAATGACGTAACCCCTGGATATTGCGGATGACGTATCGCTTGCTTTACATTCCTTGACAAGTAATTAGACGCAGCTATCATCCTCAGAGGTATGCACTGTTTACATGGTGGGCAGGTGCTTCATTCCAAATTTTAATAACAGATACAAGAAATAATTGCCAAACAGAAACAGTGCCATTATAAAGTTTCACACGGGCTGCAGCAAAAAATCCATATAACTACCTCTATTGTGCAATGTTATAACGATTTGGCATATTGTATCTTTGATAGCAATTTATAGATATACACTAGTTTACATCACAGATAGACATCTCACTCTCCTCTACAACACATACATCTCACACTCGTTTACATCACAGATAGACATCTCACTCTCCTCTGCAACACATACATCTCACACTCGTTTACATCACAGATGGAAATCTCACACTCCTCTGCATCACATACATCTCACACTCGTTTACATCACAGATAGACATCTCACACTCCTCTACATCACAGATATATCACCCTCCTCTAAAACACATACATCTCACAATCGTTTACATCACAGATAGACATCCCACTCTCCTCTATATTACATATACACATCTCACACTCCTCTACATCACAGATACACAGCTCACACTCCTCTACATCACAGACATCTCACTCTTATCTACATCACAGATACACATCTCAGACTTCTCTGCATCACAGATACACATCTCACACTCCTCTACATCACAGATATATCACCCTCCTCTAAAACACATACATCTCACAATCGTTTACATCACAGATAGACATCCCACTCTCCTCTATATTACATATACACATCTCACTCTCCTCTACATCACATATACACATCTCACACTCCTCTACATCACAGATACACATCTCACTCTCCTCTACATCACATATACACATATCACACTCCTCTACAACACATACATCTCACACTCCTCTACATCACAGATACACATCTCACACTCCTCTACAAGACAGATACACATCTCACACTCCTCTACATCACAGATACACATCTCACTCTCCTCTACATCACAGAAACACATCTCACACTCCTCTACATCATAGATTCACATCTCACACTCCTCTACATCACAGATTCACATCTCACACTCCTCTACATCACAGATATCTCACTCTCCTCTGCAAGACAGACATCTCAAACTCCTCTACATCACAGATATCTCACTCTCCTCTACAAGACATATACACATCTCACACTCCTCTACATCACAGATACACATCTCACACTTCTCTACATAACAGATACACATCTCACACCCCTCTACATCACAGACATCTCACTCTCATCTACATCACATAAACACATCTCACACTCCTCTATATCACATAAACACATCTCACACTCCTCTACATCACAGATATCTCACACTCCTCTACATCACAGATACACATCTCACACTCCTCTACATCACATATATCTCACTCTCCTCTACATCACAGATACACATCTCACACTCCTCTACATCACAGATACACATCTCACACTCCTCTACATCACAGATACACATCTCACACTCCTCTACATCACAGATACACATCTCACACTCCTCTACATCACAGATACACATCTCACACTCCTCTACATCACAGATACACATCTCACACTCCTCTACATCACAGATACACATCTCACACTCCTCTACATCACAGATACACATCTCACACTCCTCTACATCACAGATACACATCTCACACTCCTCTACATCACAGATACACATCTCACACTCCTCTACATCACAGATACACATCTCACACTCCTCTACATCACAGATACACATCTCACACTCCTCTACATCACAGATACACATCTCACACTCCTCTACATCACAGATACACATCTCACACTCCTCTACATCACAGATACACATCTCACACTCCTCTACATCACAGATACACATCTCACACTCCTCTACATCACAGATACACATCTCACACTCCTCTACATCACAGATACACATCTCACACTCCTCTACATCACAGATACACATCTCACACTCCTCTACATCACAGATACACATCTCACACTCCTCTACATCACAGATACACATCTCACACTCCTCTACATCACAGATACACATCTCACACTCCTCTACATCACAGATACACATCTCACACTCCTCTACATCACAGATACACATCTCACACTCCTCTACATCACAGATACACATCTCACACTCCTCTACATCACAGATACACATCTCACACTCCTCTACATCACAGATACACATCTCACACTCCTCTACATCACAGATACACATCTCACACTCCTCTACATCACAGATACACATCTCACACTCCTCTACATCACAGATACACATCTCACACTCCTCTACATCACAGATACACATCTCACACTCCTCTACATCACAGATACACATCTCACACTCCTCTACATCACAGATACACATCTCACACTCCTCTACATCACAGATACACATCTCACACTCCTCTACATCACAGATACACATCTCACACTCCTCTACATCACAGATACACATCTCACACTCCTCTACATCACAGATACACATCTCACACTCCTTTACATCACAGATACACATCTCACTCTCCTCTACATCACAGATACACACCGCACACTCCTCCACATCACAGATACACATCTCACTCTCCTCTCTACATCACAGATATCTCACACTCCTCTACATCACAGATACACATCCCACACTCCTCTACCTCACAGATACACATTTCACTCTCCTCTACACTACAGATACACACCTCAGTCTCCTCTGCATCACAGAAACACATCTCACACTCCTCTACATCACAGAGACACATCTCACTCTCCTCTACATCACAGATACACACCGCACACTCCTCCACATCACAGATACACATCTCACTCTCCTCTCTACATCACAGATATCTCACACTCCTTTACATCACAGATACACATCTCACACTCCTCTCCATCACAGATACACATCTCACACTCCTCCACATCACAGATACACATCTCACTCTCCTCTACAGCACAGATACACATCTTACTCTCCTCTACATCACAGATACACATCTTACTCTCCTCTACATCACAGATACACATCTCTCACTCCTCTACATCACAGATACACATCTCTCACTCCTCTACATCACAGATACACATCTCACACTCCTCTACATCACAGATACACATCTCACACTCCTCTACCTCACAGATACACATCTCACTCTCCTCTACACTACAGATACACACCTCAGTCTCCTCTACATCACAGAAACACATCTCACACTCCTCTACATCACAGATACAAA